CTACCTGTTGTAGGAAGGTTGGGCCACTTCTATGCAGAGCCTGAAGCATTGTAAGAACCTCTTTTCAGTTGTTTTTAACTTTGCCAAACAGGCTGTGGGTCTGTTTCTGGCTGAAAATATTTTACAATATTTCAGCTACAGCAATCTGCCCACTTCAGAAAATGCAGCTAGAGGAAAAGATGGTAAAACCGTAAAATTGAAAAGTCCTTCTCATGCTCAATATCTTTGGAACAGGGATGTAGAATTTGAAAGAGAAGAGGCCTTAGTGTTGGGGATAGGACTGTGAACATATGTGTCAAAATTTGGCCAAGGTATAAGCATTTGAAAAATCCCTGTGGATGCTTGTTAGAATGTGACGTGTAAATCCTCCTAAATGTCCATGTGTTCAAGCATGTTCAATTCCCTTGTGTACAGAGTGAAAATGTTCCATCTTGGTGTTGAGCAGGGTTTTCCCTTCAGATGCTGCTTCTGCTTGTAGGCAGAGGAATGGATAAAAGGAAAACTGCCTCCTGTGCTCTCATGCTTGTCTTGCACCCAGGTAGTGTGGGAGGAAGAGGAGGAACAAATAGCTGAAGGGTGAGGAATGCAAGTGTGGCCAGGGTGGGAGCCTGGTGGGAGAGGAGTTCTGGAGACAGAGGAAGAGATGAGTAGAATATGGGAGAACATGGCAAGGAGGAGTACAGATAATGGGGAAGAGGCTGAGGAATAGGGGCAGGAGCATGAGAGAGATTGGCATTTTGTTATAAAACACCATTTTCAGCTGCTAATAACCTTACACTATTTGAGCTGATATTTAAAATCTTAATGTCCTTTAATACATTTTAGAAAAATGAAGTCACAGAGTCAAGTATTCAAAAGTTAGCAAATATCTGAATGAATATTGCATGGGCTGAGGCAGGGGTCCTTTGTGTGTGGTAGAGTGTGTTCATGAATTTACAGATTGTGTTATCATGCACATATGCATGTGGGTTGAATTCAGGTTTCACTGATGGCCTTAATTCCACTGCTTCCTAACTTCCATGTGGGTAACACTTGAGCACTTCCACCTACTTCACTTTTATTATAAATGAATGGGGAGACCCGTTTTTACTGGTCCAGCAGGAGGGGTATCCATATGGGAGCAATACTTACTTGCGCTAGGAATAGACCACTAAGTTAGTGGAACAGAAAAACCCGCACTTACTCCTGTCAGTCTCCACTGTCTTGATCTCTGTTTACATGACTGAAAGTTTTATAGAACTGTAAGCCAGCATTCAAAAGTTAGCAAATATCTGCATGAATAATGCATGACCCATTGCAATGGGTCTTCCAGTCATTTTAAATGAATTAAATTAATTAGTGTAGTTAAGCTGTTTGTAATTATGACTTCTGGCTCAAATGATTCTATCAGAAATGTACATTCTAAACATTGAATCCAGTAGTTATGTTTGGATACTGCATTTGAATAACTTTATTTTGAGTGCTCATATATTTGAAAACATTAGTAACATCCTTTAAAATCTTAAGAGCTGTCAACATTCTCAATTTGATTAAGAGTCTTATGATATTTGGTGATACTACCTAGAGCCCTAGCTCCTGATGTCCTATGATCATATGAAAATCAAAACAAACAAACAAACAAAAAAAACCCCTCAAAAGCCAGAAGGAAAATTAAATTACCAGAATATCATATATATATAAAATAAAATTATACATCAATCTTATGATTTGGGGGGGACCTGATTCATGTTTTGAACACTTGAGTTTGACACAAAATTGTAAGGATCTTTAAGATGAAAACAATTTACACAGCTTGCCAAAGTCATTCTCAAATATATATTAGGCCTATCAATTAATCACAGTTAACACATGTGATTAACATGTTAATTGGTTCTTATGTTAATTTTTTTAATGTGTTAATCACATACATGGTTTTGGAACCTGTGCCCAGGCTCCGCTCTATCACCTTTGGGCTGCCCAGCAGAGCAGCAGTGTCAGTGCAGAGGACCTTGGGGTAGCCTGGGCACAGACTCCAGGTGGATGCAGTGGGTGGGGCAGGGGGCGCGTCAGTAAGTCTATGAAGGGGGAAGGGGAAGAGTGGAGGAACTGGGAGGGGGGGGATTGAGGCCCCTGTGGTGAGGAAGGGAGGGAGTGGGGCAGGGGCAGGTGCTGGGGTGAATGGGTCCCCGGGGTGGGTCGTGGGTTGAAGCTATGGGTGGCTTGTCCAGGGGCATGGGGGGAAGGGGGACAGCTCCCCACCACTGCATGCCGCCCCCGGGGGGAGGCATGGGGGGTACATACCCCCTGACTTCTGCGTGGGGTAGATGTGGGCTCCCTGTTGCAGGCTGGGACTCTGCACCCTGCTGCCTTTACCTTGGAAGCTGTGCAATGCCATGTTGCGCCTCTGACTACCGGGTGGGCAGGGAATTTGTGGTGCAGCTAGCGCGGGGCTCCTGGGGCAAAAGCAGCAGGGTACAGAGTTTAAAAATAGTTTAATTATATAATTTTTTTCCCGTTGCATTTATTTTATATTTTCTTCCAACTGTTTTCTCTATCCTGCTCTAAAGGATTTACAGATCTGGACTCTAACATCACGATAGATCTTGACCTGGTTGGCTCGTAGATCCTACCACATTATCAATGCATATTAGGAATAGTAAATAAATAAATAAATGTTATTGGGAGTAACAGAAGTAACAAAAAGGGTTTTTCAGTTTCTTAGAGCAAGTTCATATTTTAAAGATAGATACAATAAAGATTTTACTTATTTGTGAACAAGCAAAAGAAAGCTACATTAATGACCACATACAATTCTTTGAGGGGAGTGAGTGCAGCTCTCTTACTGTGGACTTGAAAAGGTTTTGATTCAAGTGAGGTTTCCTTACAACTGAGCCTGATAAGAAAGAGATTGTCTAGTTCCCCTCCAGACTTGCTGCATGTGTGTGTATGTGTGATTTGATTTCAGTGTTTAAGAAGGAAGCTAATCCCTGTCTTTTAGTATCAGTCAGCCAGGCTTAAGTGAGGCTGACTGGGTGAAGAGACCCAGTTGTAAATGTTGGATGGTAAAGTGCTTATTGACTGCAAATCTTATATTGTTCAGCATGACAGTAAGGAGCTGGAGTGTATCGGTTTTGGGGCTGTTTGAGGTACCTGTTTGTGACTTGGATGTTATATGACTTGGTTTTCAGGCTTTGGCTGGCATTTCCTGTGTTGTTTTCTTCCTGTTGATGGCTAATTTAACTGTGCTTGCTCATTTTTATCAAGACAGTACCACATTCTTATAGGGAGTTCCAGGATTTCTTTTGAGACATGTGAAACATGCTAGGTTGTAGAACTGCAAAATGTCTGTTTTCAGAGTCTATTGCTATTCAGGGCAGAATTAGCTGTGTAATTACAGGGACCACAGACTACAGTAGAACAAGTGATCAGTGCAATAAACAGTGTTTGAAGTAAAGAGAAGAGCTGAAAGAGAATAGACACTAACAAAGCAATTATTCTGTTGCTCAGAGTGCTAACTGTCATTGGTGCTTGTCCAGTGTTTCACAAAAAAGTAACTGCACAGTACAATGGTACTAGAAAAAATCCTCTTTGAGCAAAATAAACATGCAAGAATTGGCAATAGTGACACTAACACACTTCTCTTATGTTGTCTGGCTTCTGAATTCCTAAAAATAAGAAAAAGCTCCACAGAATGATTCTCTTTCTGAGTTTTGGAAATACACTCGCCAGGATTGAGAAGCTTATGGAAGTTTACAGCTGGGTTTTTGGTCTAATTGGCAATGGTAATGATTTAACAATGTGATGGCTACAGTGACAAGACTACTCAGCTCTGTAAGGCTAAGTATAGATGGTCAAAAAGTCCAAGGCTAAATCAGTTCAGTCTTTGCAGGTAACTCTAAGCTGCAGAGATTAAACTGAGAAACAACTGGACAGACATTCACTTTTGATTCAGAAAATGCAGTCACATACCTGCAGTGGATTGGGCCAAGAGGGGAGAGGGGCACTAGAGCACAGCTTTCTGGCATATAGACAGTATGGGCTGTGTGTTCATTTCTTCCTCCTCCTTACTTGAGGTCTCTGGGATTTACAGTCCAAAATCACAGTAGCAGGACTCTGCAGGGTTGCTCATCACTTCCCCTTCCTGCTTCCAGGTACGTTTGGGATTTGTAGTCTACAGTCTCAACTAGCACTACATTTTTAGCAGGGGAGGGCAGCTCTGTACTTGGGTGAAGGGAAGTTTTAACCCCTCTCCCTGGCCCCAGATGCCAGCTGAGGTTTGCCTGGCTGAGGGTAGTCCCTGCCTTCTCCCTGCAGCCCTGCTCTGCTGCAGCAGACAGCACAGCCCAGCCCAGGGCTGGAAAGCATGCTGGGGGACTGTGATTTAACTTGAGCCAGGAAGGGGTCTGGGACAGAAGTTTCATAAACAAATTAGACCCAAATCAGTTAAATCTGATACTACATTCAACCAGGTTTATCTTAAACCAGTTTCAGCCATTTTGAAAATGGTTTATGTGCACTGAACTTCTGTTACAGATTTAAACCAGTTTCTGATTACTTAAACCTGTTTATGTGTAACGTCTCAGTTCCTAGGACTAGGGACAGTTAAGGTGAGTTTGCGGACCGCTCCAGATGTCCATGATTTGGCAAATGTACTTGGTGCCCTGGGGCATTATGCTTCTGTTATATTCTGGGATGTAAAACTGCTGATTATTAAGCTCTGCCATGGAAAGCAGAGTTGTAAATGCTGAGAAGCTTCCTCTGCATTTTAGTGGAATAAGTGTTTATAATGTTTGGTGTCCAGGAGATTTAGCCTGTATCTTGATGGATGTTGGCACCTTGCTTCTCTGCTTCTTCCTTGGGATCCAGAAATGCATAAGAGAAAATTTAATGCTTCAAAGTTCTTGATCTAGGAAGTGCAGAGGCTGAACTGATATTTGATGGTTGAGGTAGGAATCCTTCTCCCCCTCCTGGTGACTTGAGCTAACTGTGCCTCTTTGTGTTGTATTCCTCTCTTTCGCAGACCTGTCTTTATGCAGTCCTTACTGGAAGGAGGAAAGAAATGAAACTACAGGTCTGTGTGGATCTCTTGTATTGCTTTGGAGACTGCAAAAGCAGGGAGGCACTTTACTTGGGGCTGCGGCCTTATTTTTTAAGCTTTTTGCATGTAGTAGATAATTATATGAAAAGGATGGTCTGGCAATGGTTCCCTCTTCCGTTTAGGATTAACCTTCTCATTTAAACTGGTTATTCCTTATTGCTGACCTTTCCTGAGGCTGAGGCAACAGCTACACCCGACAAATGAGTCCCAAGAAGGACAAAACTTTGGGTGTTTGGTTTAGCCAGTGTGAAACAGTTTGCACCTTCCCCTATTACTAAACCTTGGTTGCTTTCTGAGTCTTTGGGAAAGTTTGCTCAGTACCATAACAAGGGGGCAGGGGTGAGCGGGGCGACTGCCCTGGGCGCCAAAGTGAACAGGCACCAATAGATGCCCCATGCTGTGGCGGGGCATGGGATGGAGCCATGAGCAGCTTGTTTGGGAGGGTGTGGGGGCAGGGGAAGGGTGGTCCCCACCGCTCGGTGTGTTTCTGTGCAAGCATGGGAGGCGTGTGTCCCACAGATCTGTGCATGGGGTGAGGGCAGGCTGCTGCTGCGGGCTTTGCCCTGGGCACCAAAGTTCATTGCTATGGCACTGAGTTTGCCTGATATTAAAAGCTAAACTTTGGAATAGAATTTTGTTTGTAAAAGTTACTGTGCAATATAAAGTCTGTCAAAATATAAAGGAACAAAAGACAAATGTCACTGAGTTGGCCTTCTGATAGGGTAAGCATAGGAATATTTTGAATATGGAAGTCTTAGCTTGGGTAAATTGGCCTTTCTCCATTGGAACAAGTAGGTCAGCCTGAACTAGCTGAGGATCTGGCACCCCGCTTTTAGAATGCAGCCATTACTGTAACTGCAGAGGTTTTGAAGGACTACAAAGCATTTGTCATTGTACTTAAAAAAAACAAAAAACCAAACAAAAAACCCCCCACATGAGTTGTCTGGCTGAATGGCCATGCAGGAAAGTGGGACATTTGTTTACCTTGTAAAGGAAATGTATATTTTATTTTGGTGCATGGGACTTTATTCTGACGGACCAGACTTTTCTTAGTGTTGGAAACATGCATATCTGATCAAACACTAATGCCACTGACATCAGTGGCAAAATTTAGCTTGACTTCCACTCAATTAAAATTCAGCATATGGGTCAAGTTCTCAACTGGTAATAATTGGCACAGGTTTGGTGCTGTTTGTTGTTTTTTCCTGTACAGTTATGTTGATTTACATCAGTGGAGGATCTGGACTGTATGCCCTTTTAGTATGTGCTTGTTTGGCACCTTGCAGAATTTGGGATTATGATAGGGATGTTTTAACCTAACAGGTGCGCAGGCATTAACTATTATTACACTTACAGAATAGTTTCCAACAGGAGCCATTGTTCTCACATAAGTTTTAGAACATAAACAGTTCAGTCAGAAATGTCTCATAATGGGTCTGTGCTTGCACGTGACTTTTCTCATTTAAGTTTAAAGAAAACCATTTCCATTTTTTTTTCATCTCAATGAGGGGGAGAGATGCTTTTCCCTTAACAAACTTCAGTTAGGAGGTTTTTTTGAACTACATTCTAGCAAAAACAGCTGTAGATGGAAATTTGAAACACAGCGTATGCTCAATCCCCAAGGCTTAGCCAGCCTGTTTGGATTTGAAATAAAAAATTAGCTTGTTTCAGGAAGGCTACAGCCCTTTAAAAATTGTAGCCTGAGCATGTACAGTCAAATGTTCTGTTCCGTTAGTAAGTGTATGCCTCGGGAAGTGAGCCCTGGGCAGCAAAGCCTTATGGAGCATGCACACTTTCCATTTACTGTGGTAGATTTCAAGGCTGGCTTAGCACTTCTGCCTCCACTGTCTTTTTGTACTAGAGGCTGAGACAGAAAGAGGCATTTGATCGACTCGCTGCTTAGCAGAATTGTCATGGTGGTTGGCATGGACAATAGTTTTCTGTGAGGTACATGCTATTTTTAGCTCTCTCCCCTCATCTGAAATGAATCAAGTGTGTGAATGTTAAAATGTGAGATGGGATCTGACTAGCAGTCGGGTCTGTCAGCTTGTTCATTAAATGCAATGAACAGTCCCTTACCGTTAGTTAGGTGCTCAGTTCCCAGAGGTGATTACAAGATTCTCAAATGCTACAACACTGAGTAACCTTATAGAAACAGATGAAAGGATAGACAGATGGACTGTGCCTGCTCTGAAGCACTCTGTAGCATGTATCTAGAACAACTCTTATACTTGCATTGCTCAAAGGTCTTGTGAGTCCAGCTCTGCCCCCAATCTGACAATCTGACAGTGGGCTGCTCTGATTCTGGGTAAACTCAGATGTTGGTGGAAAGGGAATATGCAAAGTCTATGAACATTGTCATACTGAAATTAAAAAATGTCTTTTCAAGTAATGTTTCACAGTGGTTCCTTCAGCTATAGTGTGGTCTATGCTGTGTCTTGGCATCATGATTGACTGAAGTTGTTCCATTATAGCCTGTTACACATTCCTGTTTGCCGTTCTTTAGAGCTGACAAATCCTCAGTGCAGGTGTGTAGAGAGTCACAAGGTCTGCAGTGATGTAAAAACATGGTACAGTAAACACAAGGTACAAATATGGGAGTGTGTGTATGCGTATGTATTTACAATATGCAGTGCCCAGAGAGAACATAATGGGGTCTAATCACTGAAGCAAAACTATTGATCCGTGGTGGTGTTTATGAAGCTCTGGAAGGAGCTTTTCATAAAAGTTTAGCCATCTCGGTTAAGGCCCTTATCAGGCCCTTATCAAAAAAAAAAAAGATTGCTGTGCTTAGTTCAGTTGTGCTGCACACTTAGCTGCTATCACTCTGAAATCTGATATATATTCCAGAGCCTGTATCTCAGCAACGTTAATGCAGTGTGCCACTCAATCACCATATAGTGCCATTGCTTTTGTCTACCCCTGCTCCTTATTCATTGAGATTGTGTTTTGCATTAAGATGTAATAGGATGAATTTATTATGTGCTTTCCAGAGTTATTAAAGACTTCAAGATAGTACTAATCATCTCTAATTAATCTCAGCACCCAGGAATGTAGAGTACAAAAAGCTTATATTGGATTTCTATAATTATGTTAAAGGTTCTACCCCAAGGCTAATACTGAATAGAGCAAAACTGCATAGCTCACTGTATGATGATAATACTGACTTAGAAGTATCATTAAGAGAGTAAAGTTCACTTTTCATTGATCTTTTAATACTCTGTTTTACATCAGGTCCCTTAACTTTTAGGGGCTTTGTGCTGTTTCTGTTTAGGAATGCCCTTTATATCCTTTGGCTCTGGATCAGCCGACATAATCTTCAGCCTCCTGTGGTATTCATCTGAGGAATTCATTGGGTGAGGAATTCCTTCAGTTGAGGCCCCAATAACTTTTCCTTACAGCTTTCTTAAGGAGATACAGATGCTTGCAGGGAATTGCTTTGGTTCAAATCCTCCAGCTCTTTCCAGGGGAAGGCAAAGTGCAAGATAGATATGTCCCTTTTTTGTTATATAAGATTGTAACTCAGCTGGTATAGGAGCTTAGTATTGCAAACCATTGAGGAGCTAAACTTTGTAGGAGATCTTGGAGTAGAAGTTATGAAAATCTTTGTATGGTGGCTGTATAGGAGCAAAGGGGATGGTTTAATGGCAGTTTGCAATGGAGGATACTGAGCAGAATTTTCAGAAGTCTACGTCCTATTTTTAAAAGCGACTACGTCGCATAGGAATCTAAGCTCCGTTAGCTTTCGGTGAGACTTGCTGTCTTATACAAGCCTGGATAAGAAACAGGTTTTTCTGTCCCACAAGAATTTTTGAGATTTCCAGGTATATTTTTATGTCCCATAGCAAGAGGAGGAGTGGAAACCCTGGGAAGCTTTACAAACCAGTAACCCCAAATTATTAGTTCAATCAAAAAGTTTCATTTTGATTTTGAATTTTTAAATATAAAATAAAATTCAAAGAAAAGTAATTTGGAACTGAAAAACTAAACATTTCATGGTGAAATGGGATGCTTCAACATATTTAAAGCCTCCTTCAATTTCTTTCTTTTTTTTGAATCAAGAGAGTCATCAGACTGATTTTTCCTTAAGCATGCCTTGAGTTAGTGATCTGCCCTCTTTTTAACGCACTTCTTTCAGAATGTTTCCAACCAACTCTACTCCCAGGTTGCTTAGGTACTTTGGAAAACAACACACATTTTTCCTCAAACCAGCTTGCATTTGCGTAAGTTCACAGCCAATTTACATGGAGACTGCCAGTGTACTGAGAATCAGTCGAAGGGTAAAAGCAGTTTGTTTGTTTTTTCCAGAAGAAAGATTTTACAGCATTGACTGAAGATGGCTTTACTGGATTTGCCTATTTTCTGGGAGTGTTACATTAGCATTACAGGAAAATATTGTCCTTTAAAATAACTTCTGAAAGCACTTATTTTAGCCATATTTTCTTTTGGGAACTTAATTTTTTAATTTTTGATCTAGATGAAAGTTGGAGGCTTGAGAAATAGATTGCTTTTCTTTGTAAAATATATATATATATTTTTTTTTTTTCTTGTGGACTAGTATTTTCTTTCTTTGCTTAGGCTGTCTAATTTTGCCTTTTTCTTCTATATTAGCCCTTGCTTCTCTTAAAAATATTTTATGATTCATCAAAACATGTTTATCTGTATCCTATAACTGCTCTTTTATTGACATTTATAGCAGCTGCTAATGCTCTGAAGTGTTACCTTGGAACATCCATCAGGACTGCATAGTTCAGGTTCTAGAACAGTGAATACTAAATATGCATAAAACCACATGAAAAGGAATTTTAAAAAGCATTAAAAATTATTATTTAGAAGAATCAACAATTTTCCTTTGATTCATTTTTTCTAAGAATTGCTTTTTCATTTTCTCTGCAAGGTGGAAACATGGCTTCAGTATTTGTACATGAAGCATAAAGCGTCAGGAAAGTTTGACCCGAAAATAATACAACTTAGTATTTATTAAAATTATTTGTAACACTCTTATTGAATCATAAAGCTCATCAGTATAAGGCCGAGACTAAAAAGTTCTTTGACAGTAGCACTTACAGGCTCTGTAACTCAGGAGCAGGCAATTATTTTGGACAGAGGGCAGCGTGCTGAGTTTTGGCAAGCCATCGAGTGCCTCATGACAGGCAGCCAGGGGCAGATAAAAAATTTAGAAATTAATATTTAGGGCCCCGTGGGCCAGATAGTATGGCCTGGTGGGCCACACTTTGCCCACCCCTGCTATAATGCCTCTTCAGCCATGTGGTTAAAATAGCATCCCTGTGCTCTCCCTCATGGCCAGTAGATCATACAGGATCGCCGGGTTCTTGTCAGTGTGAATGTCTTGCTTCTAACTCCTGAGGGGATGCTGGTGGACTTCTACATAGAATAAGCCTTTGGAGCTGGGTAGAGAAGTCATTTCATTTTGTGGTCGAGTCCACTCTTTGGAAACAAAGTTTCATTCCAAATCAGACCAAAAGTCCAACATTTCTGAATTCACCAGCTCGGAGGCAGTCTGTGACATGTGCTGCCCTAGAGCTGCAAAACCTAGAAGCCCAGCTGTGAACCTTGAAAGTCAAGCTGCCAAAGAGCCAGGTGGGTGAGCTGCCTGGTAACCACATGGCTTGCAGTGGACCTTGATCAGAATGGATTTATTTTGTAAACAAATTAGCACATTCCAATAAAAATGACTGGGATGAATCCAACAGAACAACTCCAATAAGGGTGATGCTTAAAAGGGAGGAGAGATTGTGCAGCAGTAGTGTAGATATAGGGTTTGTGCCTATACATGCTGGCTGGTCTCCAGGACCCTGTAAGACTAAAGGGTCACAGCTGCTATGAGGTAAGATAGGGGGGGCAGGTGAAAGGCTGGGGGCTATCTGCCCTGCAGGTGCCACTGAATGCCATGCTAAGTGAAGATATAAAACCCTTAATTTGGTGGCAGGTAGAGTGATGGAGCTGCCCCCCCTGCTTCAACCCCCCTGATTCCTTCCTCCACTGCTCAGCCAGACCCTGTAGTGTCTGGGACTCGAGCCCCCAGCTCCTGGCCATTGCTCCCTGAATTCTGGATACTTGGGCAAAGCCCGGAGCTGCCAGAAGAGCAGTGTAGCAGCTTCTGTTCCAGCATCTCTCTCCCCACTTCATAATCAGTGCCCAGGGCTTGTGCTCCACTTTCCTACCGGTAGTTACACTTTTGGGTGGGAGAACTTGCCTGAGACTTGGAGAAACCTGGCTTCCTTTCTGTGCCCTGCCACAGACTCCCTGAGTGAGCTCAGGCAGGTCACTTAATATTTCTGTGCCTCAGTTCCCCATCTGTAAAACAGGAATATTAGCGCTCACCAATGTCACTGGGTTACGGTGTGATAAAACTATGAGGTATTGATGTTCTGCAGTAATGGCAGATTAATACCATAAATAAACAGATCGGCATCTAGTTGCATTGCACAACACCCTCACTGGAGAGCAAATTTTTCATGGGCACATTTAAACAGCAAACGCTGTTCTTATGGACTGATGCTTTGCGTTGCCTAGTTTGCAATGGAAAGTCCTTTGCCTCAAATGCAGTGGGTTCAAGTGATATAGTAACAGTATTTGGCTCTTGATATTTAGTTTAAGTTACTTTTTTATAGTTTTGATTTTGGATTATTTTATTTTATTTATTTATTTATTTATTTTTGGCTTACTGTTGGCACATATTACTTCTTGTAACTTTTAGTCCTCTATTGTGGCATCAGCATTGACAGGTGCTGGCATAAATGACAAGACTTTGGCAGCGGCATAAAATAATATGGGTTCAAATGATCCTATGAAGTTACCTTTTGCTGCCTGGTATGTACTTACAATATCATAAGGTCCTGACTGGATTAGCAATATCATTCTGGATTCTGTTTGTTTGTTGTAGGATAGCCACCCAGATTATTACTCTGACTGTCGGAATTTTTTTTTTTTACTTGTATGATATTTCTCTCTAGAGGGTAGTTTTTAATTCTTCTGTGTTTTTTGTTTTGCTTCCAAAAGACTCCGATTTACAGATCTGCCAACAGAGAGCACCTACCTGTTGCACTAAAAAGATGGAAGAAAGCTACCAGACAGCTGTTCGGAGAGAGAGGACTCAGAGTCTCCAGGCATTGAACTTTGAACTGAAATACATGATTGTTGGTCATGTTACAGCTTTTCAAGGTAAGAATTTCATTAAGCTAAATGACCTCACAAAAGACAGTGTTAATACTCTTAGCATGCTTAGAGATTCTACCCTAAAACAGTAGGAAGTCTTCCTCATCAGGGTTTTTATGTTGCACTGCATCATAGTTGCTTATTAATGGTTTGTTCCTCAGCTCTTCAAGTCCTGACTAGGAAAATGCCTCTGTTCACAGGAACACTTCAGCATGGGTGTTACATTAAGTATGTGTAGTCCTAACTGGGCCCGTGGACTTAATTATGGAATTGGAATCTCGACTCTGACTGGAGTTTCTGAAAGTATGTATGTTAGTCATTATCAGACTACTGTTTCTACCTTTAAAATTCTCCTATTTGGTCATAATTTTTAAGGCAGAAAGAGTTAAAAATAAAAGCCTTTTTTGACTGATGTGGCAGAATAGATGTGGTGACTGATACATCCCTGAAAAAGCATTCTTCCCTAATGCAATAAAATATTTCCTTATCTAAACAGTCACTTGAAGCCTGACACTTTTAAAAGTCATTTTATAGTTAAATGTGAATATATGAGGGAATAGAAACTTGAAAAGTCCTGAAGATAGTAAGAGTTACTTACTTTAACAGGTAGATGGGTTTTTTTGGGTGGTGATTTGTGGTCAGTGTGACTAAGGAGTCTCACAAAGTGTTCAGCACTTTGCCTCTTGCCTAGAAGCAGTTATCACAGGCTTATTTTTAAGCATAGAAGTGGACTTCTGGAAGTTGGGACTACTTAGTTGCTTGTAACAAAGTACAGATCAAAATTTAGGTGGGACTTGGTAATTAGAAAACTTTAGGACAAATTCCTAAAGGACAACAAGGGAGAACTTGCTAAAAGAGAGAGTAGGATTTACATGATTTGGGGAATTAGCATTGCCCTATCAGGCTTGTAGATGTCTTGCAAAGATCATACTTCGGAGTAAAAGGATAACTTCAAATAAATAAAAGTAGAAAAATAATTTAAATTTGACAGTAACAAATGCTGAAAACTTTAAAAAAGGATACAGATACCGTCTGAACATTTGCTTTTATGTTGCAGATGGGAAGGTCGGAGCAGTGTGTGAGGAATGGCATTTTGTTTTATTTCACAATTAGTTGGAAAATACTTCAGTATCCCACAAAGCTTTACAATGTGGTTGCAAGGCATTTTTGAGCAGCCCTGTGGGTAAAAAGGAACTACACTGGCATTGTTGAATGCCAGTGAGTTATTCAAGTGATCTTCCAGTATCGTGATAGTATAAAGATAAGGTCAAAACAGATTAACCCTGCCAGCCCTTTAAGTCAAGCCAGCAGCTTTATTGTTTGAGACTGATGAAGGCTTTTGATGAAGTGAAAAAAGTAATTAGATATTTCACATAGCTTACATTTACAAGCATTTTCTAAACTATGTTACTTATTGAAATGTGTTGCAGGCAGCCTTCTGTGCTTTCTGCCTAGGTGAGGTGAGAACTCTTGATAATATAACTTTTTTTTTTCTTTTCTTGCTGTGAGAGCTGCTATTGTCCAAAGTGTCAGAGAAAAGCCTTGAGTTCTCGTCTTATGCTGTCTAAGCATTCTGTCGCTAAGAGTAGTGCGGTATAAGACATTTACCAAGCAAGAAGATCTTTGCATTGAATTAGCTGCGTTCCTTTTGTCCATTTTGGTTTGCTGCTCTTTTGCATTATTATAAAGTGTTAGAGTCAAAAGCAGATTAGTCGATTTAAAGTCCCAAGAAAACTTATTTTAATGGGGGAAGGGTGGGGAGGGGTGGCTAAGGTCTTTTTTAGGCTTTGTCCTCATAAATACAAGAAAGCTTCAATAAGTTCAGCTACAAAGTTGCCACTTTTTAATTTATTTCTGAGGGTGTCATCTATATTATACAGTTTTCTCACAGTTTTCTTTATGTTTTTGAATACTTTAGTCTTTTTAGAAGGAAACTCAGTACTGGGGTCTTGTTTCTACCACAGGAAAATGTCTTTGCTTTTTATACACTCCTCCAAGTCAGAAATGTTGTATCATTCAACCTACTTATCTTAATTGCAAAATGAATATGGCTTTTAGGGTGGGATTTTCAAAGGGGTTCAGTATTGGCCTATATTGGCTCCTCTTGAAATCCATTGGAGTTGCCTGTAATGGTTTAGACAGGGACGATTTTACCCTGACTAAGTGGTTGGACTATCCTGAGGTCCTTTCTAGTCCTGCTTCTCTATGATTCTGTGGCTTCAGTGGCAGAGCAGGTAGGCCAGTACTGTGTGGTTTTTAGAGTTCCCACCACAGAAGGGTGTTTTCAGGACAAAATGGTAAATGCATTTTAAAACATTCTTCTAGTTGGGTGGCACATCTTTTATTTTCCTTCGTGGAGGCCAAATTTCATTTACTTCAATGGTCTTTAATCTGGTTCTAAAACTGTTAATCGTAAAGCTCAAATATTTGATTAGAGGAGATTTTAATGTAGCTTGCAGCAGGTGATACAAAGAGGGTTCAACTTAGTACTCCCTTTTGAAAAGGATGTGAACCCCCAAAAGCTATATGTATTTGGACTTGGGAAGCTTCATGAATTTTTTAATTAAAAAAAAAAAGATAAGTTTTAAAAAAGGTAACCGGAGCTGATATTATACAATTTTCACAGCTGCCAGACTCTTGCAGAATGATTAGTGTGAGACCTCAATTAAACATATTGTGTCTGTGGATGGGCTTGTTGTATTTGGATTTATGCCCATTTTGTGCATATGGACAGCTTTAGCACAACTGTTGAATCCTGCCTTTTTTCCCTTTTTTAATTTTTTCAATATTAGCAAACTGGTGCTAGTGCAAACACTTAATAAATCAAGCCTTCATGTTTTGATAATATTTTCAGCTCAAGTCACTTGTGTTGTTGGGTAATATAGGGAAAGGTGCCACATAACACTGGCTGTGGTTCCTGTAGACTGTTCCGGGGAGCCCTGGAGAGGGAGGGAGGGAGGGTTTCTGCTATGCAGGACTCAGCTGGTCCTCTGTGTAGTAATAGAGGTTATAATTTAGAATGGTTGTTCCCCCCTTTTAAACTTGGCTGAGAATCGCTGATTTAGAGATACTACCCTGCTTAAACTACAGAAGTTGGGAATTGGGACACGGTCCCTCAGTTAAGGCACTTAGTCAGAAACGGAGGTTGCCTACTGCTCCAAAATAAAGTATTTCTTCTCATTTCTGTCTTGTTTCATGCCTTCTTTTACTGAACCTGCTGATCACTATACCCTGGAGCTTGACTGGCACCTGCAGCATTTGGGTCCAGCATTGAGAGAGTCGAGGTTATCAGGGTCGTGTTTTCTACACCTATGAACTTGTCTTTTGTATGTTGACATATTGAATGCAGTCAGGCTTCCATGTAGAGCTTTTGGGTACTTATAGATGTCAACTTCCCCCCCGCCCCGGTGTACTGGTGCTTAAAGCTCAGCGTGCCCCTTGCACCAAGCACAGTGCATGCCCAAATAGCTGATTGAATTAGCTTTAGATAAAAGCACCAAAAAGCCCTGCTGAAGTGCCCAGTCTACACAGACATTGGGCGAGCCGGGTCAACTTAATTTACTTTCTCTTCAGGTAAAACGCTGGACTTTTTTTTTCGGATGGGGGAAGGAGGACTGGGAATTCAAATCTGTAAGCAGCTTTCTTGGCAAACTTGCTGAATTTGCTATTATTTCACACTTAGGTTCTAGTAGAGTCTAAAAGCCATAATCTTTATGCTGGAGACCATCCAGACATCTTGCTAATGGCAGTCCCTGCCCCAAATAGCTGCTAGTCTAAAAGCAAAATTTAGCAGATGGATGGGACAAATAAGTAAGCCGTTATGTGAGGTGGTAAGTAAATCTAATAGAATGTGTATAGTTCTTGGCCAGCTTGTGGTGGTGAACCCAGCTCATTTTACCTTCCTACCCAGCCCCCATCAGGTTATGCTTTGCTGTATGGATGAGAAAAGGGGTAGGTGCCCTGCCCCACATGCACCCACGCCTTTTCCAGCTTATCCAGCTTCTTGGGCTGGGATGATCAACCTAGTTTTCAACAAAATGGAACAGGATCCTTTTATTCTGTTTTAATTTTGCGGTAAAATAGCCTTCTTTGAACTAAGTATCTCTTTAACCTTTGTGCTTGCAAGCGATCAGATGGATTGCCCCTGGTTAGAAATTAACAGATTAATTTCTTTGTGGTGATACTACACATTATTTGACACCTTTATTCTCCCCTTCCCCGCCCGGTCCCTAATTTTGCCCCTGAGGAGAGTTCCAAACAAGGCAACTTTAATTAATTTGTTCATGGATTAAAAGTGGTGCGAGTGTGCAGCCTGAAAGTTGCTGTCAGAAGAAGTATAAATAATCTCGACAGTAAAGCTTTGTTGTGTGTAGACAGCAAAGAGAAACCTGCCCTCTCTCTGGATGTTTTCAATAGAGTGCTAACAGGTGCTCTGTATGAAACCACAAAGCTGGCTCTGCTCCTGTCATCTTAGGGTGAGGCTAATTTGAGGTAATGAGAATCCAGATGCTGGTAATTAATTCATTCTGAGGCTGATCTCTGCAGAGACAGGAAAAGGAACTTGGAAACCTATGTGAAATTTTAGTCACAAAATTAGCAGGTATTTGAGATTCAGGGAAAATGCTTTGTTTGAGCTCAACTGTTTCCAACAAATTCGTTTCTTATTGGTGTATTTTTCTCATTGTATTTATTTTTCCCTGTAGGCAGGAGGAATCATTACTCAGGAGCCCTGAATGGAAAGCTACTGCATGAATAAAAGCATATTTTTCATAAAGAAACATTTTTATTGCGCAAGTTGCATCTTCAAAATTGCACTTGCTTAATCTTCTGTTAGCAGACCCAGTCTTTCTCTCAGTGCACTGATCCACGTGGGACACACTGCTAGTGCCATTCTAAGGTACTGCTACCACTTCATCTCCAAAGTGCTGGGAGGAACTGTGGTTACGGCTTGGCACAGGGTAGCAACGCAAGTTAAAGGGCCTCATTTTCACTATTACTAAGAGTGT